TGTCCTAACTGGACGTGCGTCTGGTAAAAAGGGGTTAATGGGCCGGACCTCGGCTTGGGCCATTAACCCAACATATCCCAACAAGTGTCATAATTTAGTGACGCTTTTAGTGACACTTTTTTAGTGTCACTAGCCCCCACTTTCATTGACACTTTCTTAGTGTCACATAAACTTTTAGTGACACCAATTTGGTGTCATTGTAAGACATCTGTAATAATTAATCTTCTTTTCTAAGATTAATTATTATGTTATACTCTGTATACAGTTGTCCATTTCCAATGGGGTTTCGTGCTGAAACCGTGCATGATCCGTGCACTAAAGGTGCAATCCAGAATATTGTGCAATCCAGAATATGGAGTACTTTCTATTTCCATTGGAAGTTCAAGAGTTTTTTTATCTCATAATATTTGTCACTTTCTGTTCAAAGTAGATAATTTATGATTTTTTTCTTCTTTTTTATATAAATTTCAACCAAATTACTTTTGTTTTTCTTATTTCACACCCATAATCTATTTAAGTCTGGCGTGATTTGATTTGAAATTGAAAAAAATCAATTAAAATATCCCAAGAATGAAGGAAGAAGAAAAAAGAAAATGAAGAATAAAAGAGCTAAAAGGAAAAAAAGGACGGAAATAAGGAACTAAGAGAGAGGTAAATGCAGCCAAACATTTAGGAGAATAGATAGAAAAAACAACTCCTCGCGGAAACCCTAGCGTTGGGTGCATTTTCCAGCAGCACCTCTCCGCCGCAGGCGGCGTTTCCTAGCCCGGTCTAGGTATTTGGGCGGGCGGCACCGACTTGTTTCGGTGCTTAGGAGTCCCGATTTTGTTAGTTTTGTCTGGAGTGAAGCTTGGGACGAGAAAGTCCTGTGGACTCGTTGATTGGCGACGCAGTTCGAGTACGGTACAGGGGGGAAGAGGCGTGGTCTCACTTGGTTCGAGAGGCTTGTTTTGACCCTGAAGCAGAGTAGTATTTGATTCGTGATTGAGGCAAGGCAGGGTTTGTTTGCAGCAGGCGTTACCTTCTTCACCAAGAACAGAGCTCAATCTTAGTGGCATTTTCTTCATCAAGAACAGAGCTCAATCTTAGTGGCATTCCAATTCCAACGATTTATCCAGTTTTGGCTCGAGAATGGAGGCATGCTTTGAGAAGATTTTCGGCAGATTGGCTCGAGAGTGGTGTTTCCTTCGTGTCGATTGGGAAGGAATAGCGAAATTCGTGCTGTGCAGCCCTCCTGAGCCGCCGTTCCATCAGTTGAAGTTTTACTTCTTTTGCTTTTTTCTTTTCAGACTAAATTTGCTTGTTGTTTATGTTGTTATTCGTCGTACAATAAAGGGGAAGGGTATGCGTGTTGGTTTTGTTTAGCAGGTAGAATTTTGGTTGGAAGAAATCAGGCTGATTCAGTCACTAATAGCCTCTATGCTCTCACTGTTTCAGCGATTAGTCTTGCTCTTTTTAAGGTGGAATATTCTATGTCTGGTCATGACGTGAGGGGGGCATTGGGCTTTGGTATTGTTTGGAGAGAGGGAGATTTAGGTCTTGGGACGTGTTTGTTACTTTTGTTTGGTTGATTTTAATATAAGTTTGTTTCCTTTCAAAAAAAGATAGAAAAAAGAAATTAAAATAGCTGCTAGAAGGAAGAAAACACCCGAATCCTAGAATAGGTCCGCATGGTGAAGTAAAAGAAAACAAATATAAAATAAAATATGGTAACCTCCTATTATAGGTTGTTTTAAGGTCATTTGATCTAAATGATGGTTTTTTAATAATACATGTATTTTGGTGATGCTTTTTTAGTAGGGAGTTTCTTACCACATCTAGCTAAGTTAAAGCTCACCATATACGGTTTTTGTTATTGAATGGTGCAGTTGATCAGAGGAGTTAAAGAAGTACAACCGTCCAGGCCGCCAGCAACTACTAACCTTAGTGCTTCATCCTCGGCTGCTGCTAGCTTCCTTCCAGTCACTGATGAATGAAACTAACTGATTTTTTTGTCTGTTAATGGTTAACTAACTCCCTGAAACGCCCTGAGATTATTAACTTCAGCTGTCTGGGAGTTGGCTTAAAGTGTTAAATGTTGTTGTAGCTTTCTTTATTTTTGTTCAAAAATAGATGTATGAATACTATAGGTATGCATTTATATTGGTGTGTGTGTGTATACACACACATATGCATTTATATGTATTTTGTACTATGTAGTACTCCCTCTGTTCCAGAAAAAATTGCCAAATTGACTTTCCTTGGTTAGTGCTATAAGAAAACAGCAGTCGTAATATATAGCAGGTTTGATGACTTTGATCCCAGCCAGTCATTGTTAACAGAAGCACGAAACTAATGTATGCATATAAGGAATTGCTTAGCAAGTTCAACTTGAGGCACTGTTATGGCGAAAGGTAACTAAATAAATGCATTATATCAGGGCCCTTGCACTTCTATGCGATGGACTTTGCATTTCACGCATATGCATTTTTATAGTTTTTCTAAAGCAAACGTTGAGCTTAGCAAGTTATGTAACATTTTGTGCAATAGCTATGTACTGTAGGGCGGAGCTAAGGAGGCTCAAGGTGGTCAGCCCACCCCCTTGAAAATTTGAGAATATAGAGCACTGAAATACTTTTTGACTTCATATATTATGACTCTTGTAACTCTGGTAACTCAAGGAGGTTAGCGGGTAATTCCATTTTCGAACATATTAGCGGGTTGATGGTCTATTGAAATGGATTGGGCTTCGGGTCTACCCGCCCGGTCCGGTTCTTATAACATACTCCTGAGTCGTTATTCTTGCTCCAAGACCGATGAACCTTACATTTTTTGTGTTTCAATAGGATGATTCTATTCACAATCTCTATTTTACTAACCACAACCACAAAATTGAATAATAATAAATTCAGTAAACACAAATATCCGGATTACCCTTATTATTAGCAAAGACAATCACCGGTTAGTGACTACAACTTTCCGCGAACATTGTTGCCACAAAGTCGCAAACTGCCACAAACTTTGATGTGAAGTCGCAAACTGCAACAATGGTCATGCTATCACATGAAAGTCGCAAACCACATGTGTGAAATCGCAAACCACACTTGTGAAATCCATGTTGTTTAGTAATGGTGAGTGGTTTTGTGGACACATGAAAGTCATTGACAGCCATTACCACACTTTGAATCCTTAAGGTTCCGCCATCTCACGCTAGAAGAATACATCTTCGACTTTCTTCCTCATTCTAGAAAGTTAAGACATAACTACGAATATGAAGTAGGAATTTTAAGACATAACTCTATTTAGTAATAAGGGCACTAGAGGAATTATGAAAAATGTGTTTGATGTAAATAAGAGGTTGGGAATAGAATCATCCCACAAAACTTCATGTTATTTATTACGGGGTATATTATTACTATTACTATTGTTATTACTATTATCACTCGGCTTTTTTATTTTTAGTAGTTGTTATTTATATTAGGAATATTAAAATTCATGTTGTCACACTTACCATTTTTTGTTCGGTATGGGGGTTTTAATGGGCCGTTAAGGTTTGGTTTTATTTTCTTAATTATAGAAATTTTTGGTGTTATCAATTAATTACTTAAAAATATTAAAACTTGTTAATAAATCCTAGTATATTCTGATAATGAAATTCACATTTGATGCATAAGAAACAAGTCAAAACCTGAACAAGTGAATAGCAAAATAGAGAACCACTTGTAGCAAAAAGGTAAACCTCAACATGCTAGTATTAGAGGTGTTTGAGGTGAGCGATTTTGATCAACCTACTAAGATGGATTTACCTCCTCTTTTTCTAAGGTGTTCTACAAATTTAGTTTTAAATCAAAATTCACCATACAAATCGAACAGCCACAAACAATATTCCATAATTCACGGACCTCTGCCATCACTAAATATGATAAATAGTAAATAAAATCAAATGTGCAAAATTGTAAATAAAATTACCAAAGCACACACATAATTGTAAATATGGTTTAACTAGGCTGAGAAAACTCATGATGGAATCGTCCCACACCTACATCACATTCGACACAATGATGGAGGAGTAAATCTCAAACAGTTTATGAGTAAGCTGACTTAGAGTCTTATGTTTATGTGTATAAAAAGTTAACACATGAAATTCACACGCTTGTGTCCGAATTTGGGACCTCTATCTCACTGCCTCACTCAATGGAGCTACGTGTGAGAAGCTCATGATGTTGTAAGGGTTACTCTTGTAAATTAAAGTAATCAATAGTTGAAGATTTGTGGAGGGCAAAGCGATCTCAAATCAGTGATACGGAGTATTAAAGAAAACTGATTAGATAGATTGCTTCACTATGAACACTTAAAACGTCACGATTAAACAATTTAAATTAATCCAAAGTATTACGCTTGACATTTATAACAAGTTAACATATGTATAAAATCAAGAAAGGTAGCAATAACAAACTAAAGCATAATAAAAGTGTGCTTCGTAATACGTAATCCGGTAGTATCACATTTGATTTTATCATTTGAATTTGCTGCGTTATGGATAAGTATATATTTAAAATATATACTTCGGTTAATAAAATAATGAAAAAAATTATACTCCCTCCGTCCCGTTGGAATGTTGCCGCTTTCCTTTTTTGGATGTCCCAAAAGAAGTTCCCATTTCCCTAAATGGAAAGTTATCCTACATCAGAACAGTGTTAAACAGTGCAAAACAGTGTCAAACAGTGTCCAAACAGTAAAATTTACCTCCTGGTAAGTTTATTTCCTTAATATGTGTGTAGGTCAAATCAGGAACATTCCAACGGGACGGAGGGAGTACTATCGTACAAACATAACGAAAATGGTCTTCCAACAATAGCTCTAATATATTTATCCAAAAAAAGTAATTTTAGTCTTATTTTATTACATAATTCATTCTACCAAATCAAAATATGTCTAAAAAAGGTTGATTAATGATAAGCTAGAAAATAAAAGTTAGAGCAAACAAGAAAAGTAACTAACCCCTAACAAAATGTCATATACTTCTCCAATATGAAATGCTTATCTATCCATCCAACGAATATCACACGTGTGACAATATAAAACGCGCAATATGAACCAAGGCAGAACTCTGTAATCCGTATCAGGAACCCGCGCGCCGGGTAGAATTTTATAAAGTTGATCAATCGGGTTACAGAACCCGTAATGGCTTCCTTGCCTTCTTTACACACAGGTTGCAGATTCCAAGCATTACCGAATCTCCATACTTCTCAGTTTCTTGCACCCCACTCCCTGTTGAAGCTGAAGAAGGCGGAGCGAGCCGCGCTTCCTATTCTGCGATTCAGTAACCTAAGAAACCGCAGAATTCACCCACGACCTTTCATCTGCGCTGCTCAATCCAATCTCCTTAAAGGTGACACCTTTTATCGCTCTTTCTTACCAAGGCGTGCTCAATTGAATATAAATTTATGTTGGATGGTTCACTAGTGGTTACCAGTATATGTTTCTGTTAATGGAGAGTTGAGTTTTGATGTCCGAATGGGAGTGTCCAGTGGCGCCAATGAAGAGTGCGGTTTGAACTTTCAGATTAGGATTTAGTAACTAGTAACATTAATTGGAACTGGGCGGATTGTGTGCAGTTTGAATAGTATTCATTCATATCATATACTGTCCTAGGAAGTTTTTTTGTAATTGATTTTCACAGGAGTAGGGTATCAGAGTTTAGGATTGGATTGGGTCGGGTCGATCTTGATCAACCGAGCTATGAGATTGAAACTAATCTTGTTTACCCAAGATTCCGTCTTTAATTTACTTCGATATGAAACTCTCTACAGAGAGGGTTTTGGTAGTCAGGGATCCAGATGGCTCCATTTTAATTTCTCTTAGCTCACTCATTGTATGGCTACGTAGATGTACTTCATTTACCTTCATCATCATCATTACCCGAGTGCCGCAAAGGCTCCCACCTACGGTGGGGTATGGGGGGAGTTGGAAGTACGCAACCTTGCCCCTGTACTAAAGCATTAAGCACGAGCACAGAGAGACTGTTTCCGGATTACCTATAGTGAATAGATGTACTTCTTTTACATTGAGTAAACTAAAAAAACATCCAAACCGAAGTATGCTTACCCAGTATTCTCACTCGAAAGTAGAGTATGAGGAAGGTGCAAAGTATTCTGACTTCACCCCAACCCGTAGGAGTAGAGATGTTGTTTGTTTCTTTTGTGTTTTGATTTTTTTATCATCTCTTTCTTTTGTGTTAAATAACCTTTACTTTCCTTTATATGAAACTCCACTATTGTAAGTTCCTTTGATTTACAACTTGGTGCTAAAAACGTTTTTTCCCCGATTTTGCAAATAGTTGTGCAAACAGTTTGGAAGGTTGGCAAAAATGGAATTGAAGCTGGAACTAACATGGTGCCGGTAAACAAATATGCGTCTATTGGACGTGACTTTAAAATAGTTGAACTTTCTGTAGATGTTTGTCTATGATATGATTTGCATATTTGGGTGTCAGGATCCTATCCCAAGACCAATTGCAAGGGTATCAGTTGCATTAGTTGCAGTTTCCCTTGCATCTTTTGTACTCAAGTCATTCCTCTCTACTGTCTTCTTTGGACTGGTATGTTTATTGTCTGATAGGTATTCATACCTCTCACAATGTATTCATTGCAGTAACATTCTGCTCATCAGTCTATTAAATCTCATGTTTTCATTAGGCAGTAAATCTAAGTGACACACTTTGTTCTTCCATTGCACTACATCTTCCTGATTAAATACTTTTACTTGTAGATATATGCATGACTTAGCCATATAATAATTTGGGGCATTTGCTTGTGGTGAACAGGCAGTGATGGGAGTTCTGTATTTTACCTTTCTGGCTTTAACGAAGGATGAAGGGCCAATTGCTGATGGAGAAGGGAAATCAACCGAAGATAGTTTAGAAGAAGCAAGGAGAATAATGGAGAAGTACAAATAACAAATGTAAGGGAATTATTATTTTTTCCTCATGGTCTAGGTCATGAAAAATATGGAGGTTTTTTCTTTATATGTTACTAATAGAAAATTTACGTGCAAAATATGACTAAAGTTACTGTGAGTGTACTTTTATAGTAACTATGGTGAAATTTGAATGCAACTATAATCACTAAAAGTTACACAGTATTAAATCACTTTTTTGCCCGTTATCTTTATATTGGTCATATATTCATATATTTGGATTTATTTCTTTTATGTATCTTCTAACAATAAATCTAAACTCATTTCACTGATTAAATTTTTAAAAACAGAAATCAATCCAGGAAATGTAATCAATAATAGTGGTGCAGAACCATTTTTGCAAAGGATGTGTTCCATAAAAAGTGGTGGCATATTGCATACACAGCCTCATTGCACCACATTTGAATCTTTAACTCATGGTAGATCTTTAAATAATTACCCATCATAACAAAGTTGATAATTTGATACATGTCATTTACTTTTGTTTCTCAGTTTGAGAGCTGAAGAAACCATTTTTGTTCTACTTTGAACCTTTTACTAGGATTGTTTGTATTCATTGGAGTTTAATTTGTTGGCGTTTCTCATTAGGTCTCCAGCAGTCTTCAATAATCGTGTTGTTCCTTGAAAAGCCTTTCACTTCCTTCGACAATAATGCTCTTCCTTGAGAAGCTATCTTCTTCCATTTAATGTCTCACTAGCTGAAAAATTCGATTCCGCAGTGGTTTTAACCGCCAAAAAAGGCCTCGGCACAATTTTTTACGTGTGGCAGATGTTTCAGCTGAAAACGTTGCATTTTTTATAATTTGCGGCGGTTATTTAATAAGACCGCTGCATTTTTGAATTTTTAATTAACAGGTGTGGTGATTATCAACTCAAAACCTCCCTAAATCTGAACTTAACAAATGATTCAGCTCATCCAAACCCAAAATATATTTTCTTACTCAAGATGATTCAAGATGTTTTCTTTTGGACTGTTTTCAGTCCCAGACCAAACCAGATTAGACCAGACCAAATCAGACTTTTGTAGTTATAAAATACACAGAGACCAGACGTTTACCAGACCAGTTCAGACCAGACCAGACCAGACCAAACCAGTAAATTTCAGTCCAAAAGAAAAGATCCTCCGTAGCGTACTTCATATTTGAATATTTCCATCTCAGGTGCCTTATATTGTGGCTTTCTCTTTAACTCCAGTTTTTTCCAGATATATAGTCATTCTTGTGTTAATCCATCTACTCCATTTGTCCCAATATAAACTTCATTCTTTCCTTTTTCGTTCATCCAATATAAATCCTTTTTTTCTTTTTTGTTAATGTATTTGTGATTCATAGCTTTTGTCTTCACTTTATCTTTCTTCTCTCCAATGCACAATTTAAAACCAAACATTTCTCACTTTCTTAATTTGGGTGCAAAGTCAAAGTAGAAGTTTTATTGGGACGGAGCCACGGAGGGAGTACTTTGTTCTAGCCCAACTTCATATCATCCATTATCATGGGCCCGGGACGGGTTGGGCCCGGGACGGGTTTAGGCCCGGGCCGGGCTTAGGCCCGGGCCAGGCTTTGAGCTTTAATGGGGAGACCCGGGACCGGCCCGGGTATCCACCGGCTCCGGGCCGGACCGAATCCGGTCGGGTCGAATGTATTTTTTTTGCTTTCCTAACTACTCCTGACCCCCCCCCCCCCACCCCCCAAACCCCCCAAAACACCCAGCCCAATCCGGTGGAAACTCAAAAATAATGAGAGAATAAAAAAGGAATTGGGCCCGGCCGGGTCCCCATTTGCCCTACCCGAGCCCGCCCCCCCGCTATCCCACCGGTTCGGGTCACCACCCGGTCCCGGACCGCCAGACCGGGCCGGTCCCGGGTCCACCACTAGGGTAGGATCCTTCTATGAAGATATCTAGATCTCTTGTTAGCGAATTTTTTTAATGAAGTAATATTGTTATTGATAAAAATACAGAGTATTGTTATTGATAAATACTTAATATTATTTGTTTCTCAATTCACACAGAGTTAAAAAAAAAACATCCAAACGAACCGTGCTGCGAATGATATTCAAATTCTAGATAAGTAAAAGCTTCTGTGCATCGAAGCGAATGCGCATAACTTTCACGGTCTCACCTACCTTATACTCTTGTAGGCTCATACTACGTACACTTATGTAGATAGATAGCTAGATTTCTTGTTTTGATACAAATTTAAAGGAAATGTATGTTGTCAATTTACTGATTTAATTGCACAAATATCAGACTAACCTGGACAAAAAAAGTGATTATGTTAAATTGAAAGTATTATTTTGATAACTTAACCTTAATTTTTATCTCAGATCCTACCTCTCTCATATGACCTTTGCATCGTCGTTTCAACCACTTCATCGTCGATCCATTCCCAACATCACTCCCCAGCCTTCTCTCACGCACATCCACCTCTTCACAACCCCACCGGCCACCCCCCATTTTCATCGAATCCCCTGCATCGCCGAACTAGACTTCTGTCACAACCCCCCTATTCTCCGTGAAGTTCCAGATGGTGATAGCATAGATGGTGAGTTGGTGACGATTCCAATAAAGGTAATGATGGCTAAGGAGGCAATCCTACTGGCAATGGCAGTAGATCGATGAGCAACAAGGGTGACAGACCGATGAGAAACAAATGTTGTAGACTGACAATCGTTCTTCAATATCCTCTTCTATTCCGAGTTTCTGACCATGGGGATGTGTATGGACGTTATGATGTGATACACAGAAGAGGAACTCATTGTGACTTTGTATTGGCGGTAGCTGGTGTTTTGACGATGTAACCAAGGCTGGAACCTGGGTGAGGGTTCTTCAATATCCTCTTCTATTCCGAGTTTCTGACCATGGGGATGTGTATGGACGTTATGATGTGATACACAGAAGAGGAACTCATTGTGACTTTGTATTGGCGGTAGCTGGTGTTTTGACGATGTAACCAAGGCTGGAACCTGGGTGAGGTCATATTCGTAACAGGGTCACTACTTGCTAGGGTGTGGTTACTGGTCACCAGGTGGTTGGCAACTAGAGTGTGAGGGGTCGTTAAGCACCAATCACATTAGTAAAGGGTATAAAAGTTACTCTAAAACTTTCTAAAAACTAGCCATTTTTTATCCATGATTTATGTCAGAATCCCATGGATAAAATACAACTTAATATATATGGGCTGAATATACTATACTCTCTATGCATGTTTAGTCAAGGACCTCGAGCCCAATGAAGACAAGAGTTGCAACTGTGGCATTACCACTTTGTTGAGAATTGAGATGCTTTAGAATACACGAACCCCATCTGCCCAAAAAGAAATTTGCAGTAGATTTTGGTTTTTGCAATTCAATCAAAATTTTGTTGTAATTTCCAAACTTAGTATTCGTACTGATTTGAATATCAACACGGAAGATTTTACTTCATATTTAGCCAACCTGCTTAACCAAGCTAATTGCAAATCCATTTGGTATGGAGGCAGGGGGGAGGTATTGAATTCTGAAGTGTAGATAAGCGTGTCAAAGACTGTTGAACAATAGGGATAAAGGCTCTTACACTAGAGAATAAAGAGTACAACTTTGAGTACAACAAATTTTAAAACATAAAATTTAATACATCGAAGATGCTAATTCACGAACTTCAGACACAACCTGATCATAATCTTCTTTCAATTTGTCTTGATCTTCTTGATTCATATCTCCCTTGGTAGGCTTGGTCAAGACCAATACACAGCAAGTTGGCCTTTTTGTAGCTCCTGCATTTGCAAGATCCTGAAACAAAATTTGGTTTTGTTTTGTTAATACCATCCTCTAGCAATTGCATTGACACACTGAAACTGGAAAGTGGAAACACTCCTCTAAATGGCATAAATAGGCAAGTATGCAAAGAATAATCATCCTATTAGATCAGTGTCAGGTAAGATAAGTAAAGTTAAGCTTACTTCTTTTGATTGAACATAAACATACGGGATCTCAGCTTCTTCACATAGGATAGGAACATGTGTGATCACATCAATAGGAGATATGTTCCCTGCAATCACACAGAATCTGCAACCACAAACACATAGAGTATTTTTTACAAAAGCTATCAGCATCCAGGAGATGGAGTTCAATTGCAGGTTATTTATTCAGAAAGTTTGCTCCACTAATAAGCTAGAAGCTGAAAACAACCACATCGACAATTTTGTGTACCATATACTTTTGGGATTAAGGCTTGGATGTTGTTGTTGTTGGTGTATACTTTACAAAAATCTATAAGATAATGAATTTGGCTACTACAATGCCAAACAGCATATGATTAATTAGGATGACTTCATTTATTCAATTGCAAATAAGCTGCTGTTATAGGCAAGATATAGGGGGTGTTTGGATCTGATTCCCAAAACTGATTCTGCTGCTTCAGGGAGCAGAAGCAGAAGCTGTAGTGTTTGTGTGAAATTCCAGAAGCACTTCTGGTGCTCTAATTTACTCTCGGAATCAGTTTTTTTAGAAGTTGGGAGGTACCAGCTTCTGAAAACTGATTCTGATTCTGCTTCTACTTTAAAAAAGAAGCAGAAGCAGAATCAGTTCCAAACACCCCATAGTAGTCAATCATATAGCAGAGTGACTGATCATTTGTGGGCCACACGAAGATTATTAGTCATGTATATTTGCAGATCTAGTTCCCATTTGCATTATCTAGTTTATATGATTTCTGCTTGACGTCCCATTAATTATCCTTTTAGATCTAAGACATTTCACTATTATTTAATACACCTACTTGCTACTTCTCCTAGACCAACAGTGATTGGAAATCTCTACTATATCTAGAAAGGGCAGGTTATTCTCATTGATAAGGGAAGAAAGAGTTGAGAAGAAACCTAAGGAGAAAGAACTTCCTAAAGCTCTACTTTTTTATATTCCATTCATATGTACTCCCTCCGTCCCATAATTATCTTCATTCTTTCCTTTTTGGTCCGTCCCAAATTTATTTCCTCTTTCCCCTTTTAGCAAAGGATTTGTGGTTCACAACCATTCTTACACATTTCTCTCTCCTCTGCACAACTCTCCACCACACATTTCCCACTTTCTTAATCTCCGTGCCCAGTCAAAACCGAAGTTAATTCTGGGACGGAGGGAGTATCAGTTTTCTATCCGCAAGAACCCATTTTAGTATTTTACGATTTTTTAAGGAACAAACCCTCACCAACAAGGAACCATATTAGTCCATAAAGCAGTTGACCTAGCCCAAGGAACAGCGCAATTTCTTTTGTTGTAATGTCTCTACAAGATTCCGTAGTATTTATCTTATATCAACTTTAGCCTTTCCATTAGCGTCCACAAATGATAATGTATCTTTGTAAGTTAAAGTTGATAAAATACCAAAGGTTATCATCCGAAAGATTCTTTACAAGTTTGTCCTAAGCCATGTATAGCGAAATACAGGGACGATCTTTATTTAACTACGAAAATGAGAGTAATAATAAGATGAATATAGTACGAATAACTAAATAATGACTGCACCGCAATTGATCAGCACATAATATTATTGACGAGGAAAACGAATCTGAATTAACAAAAGAAATGAGGTGAGCAGACCCTTTGTGGCCTCGACGAATGCTTTTGACTACCTCCTTTACACCTCTCTTCAAGCACTTGTTCTCCGCAGCTGAAATCAAACGTCGGGCAATATATTAGGAACAAATAAAAACTGCCCAAAAATAAAGTAAAATTCGCAGATAGAGAAATACCTCGACGGACGAGTTTGAAAGTGCGCTTGCTGAGCTTTTTACCGGCTAGAGGTTTTGCAATAGGAGCAAGAGCTAATAGCTTCTTCTTCTCCCTCTCTTTCTGGGCTGATTTCTCTGTTTCGCTATCGCTGCCCATCTTCTATCTTCTTCTCAGTATCTTCTGCCACTGAGCTAGGGTTTAAGTGGCGCCAAAGCTTGGGAGATCGGAGTTATAGGGTTTAAGATGGGGAAGGAATTGACTAAAAGCTTACAAGGCCAATTTGTTGCAAAGCTTTGGGCCTAACACTAAATGATTCGAGCGAGATGGTCTTGGCCCAGTTTTGCATTCGGGTGTCATTACACACTTACCGTACCGGAAAAAATACCGGAAAATACCGAAATATTGTTATACCGTCATTTTCGGTACGGTATCATATCGTACCGATATTTTTCGGTACGGTAACGGTAAATGTTTTCAAATACCGTGGTATACCGGTATAATATCGTACCGACTCCCTACTCAACAATTGCTTTTAATTCTAATATATTGTAAAAATCCATTACAATTTTGAAGCCCAAATTTAATACTTAAGTTGGTTACAAATACAAAAATACAAAAATAAAGGCCAAATTTTTCAAACCTACTATAACCTTATAGGATTCTACTACGCTAACCTTAATGACTAATGAGTAATGTACAAATCTCAACAAACAAGTCCATCTTGTTCCAAAAGATTGCAAGTCGTGATGGCTGGGCCGCTAAGTAGCTGATGAGTGAAGAGATATACACTTATATGACAAGTGTATGTACATAGCGATTCCGCGAGTCGAGACACATAACTTTGTCCGAAAGTCTTATTCAATTTTTAAAAAATTATAAAAAATGAATAAATACACAATATCATATTAGGAATAAATGATTTTATATCCATGTTGTTTGAATATATAGTTTTATTTATTTTTGTTAGAGATCACTATTGATTTAATTATATCTATATTGTTCATGTTGTTTTAGGAGAATGTGTTACTTTTTAATATGTGCATGTTGAACTGCTTAAATATACTAATAATAATTATTATTCAATATTGAATTGACATCAATAGATTATTAATTGTATTTCGTAACATCTTAATAATATATTTAATACTACGTATGTCGCTAGTAATAACAATTTAGTATATTTCATTAGTCTATGATAATTTTTTGTATTGGGAGACATGCAGGGTAATTTACCGATACCGTACCGTTACCGAACCGAAACTTCGGTATACCGAAATGCGGTATACCGAAACTTCGGTAAGGTAAAGGTATACAAATTTTGCATACCGAAAGTTTTGGTACGGCAAAGGTATGAGAAAAAATATAAGGTATGCCGTGCCGAACCACCCCTAATTACGCCTGCAAGCTAACAAATTAATGGAGACCCAGCCCATCCTACGAGAAAAGAATCAAACCAAACCTATTTAGGTCATAACCCTGTCCTACATTCCTACCTACTATTCAAAGGGACAAACTTGGGTTATGTATTTCAAACTCAACCGGGCCTGTTATACCCCACCCAAGCCCAACCTAGTTGGCCCAATTATGCAGATTACTCTAGTACCGTAGTACGTATATACCACAAAAAATATGAATTTGGATCACCTGCAGCACGACACTCTGAGCTCGTTTGGTAGTACGAAAATCGGCTGATTTGGCTGATTCTGCTGAAATTTATGAAGTTTTGGCTGAAGCGGCTGCATTGGCTGATTCTGCTGTTTAAATTTTGTTTTTAATAAAATAAAGAAAAAATTATATGTAAAAATAGCTAAAATGATCAGCTATAGTTACTTCAGCCAATACAGCCAGAAAAGTAACTTCAACCTTACTTTTCCTGCTTATTAACAATTCAGCGCGTGAAAGCAAAAGTTAAGTGTTTGGTGAAAATGTGTCTGATAAGCTAAAAAACTGTGTTGCCAAACGGCCACTCTATCTGGGACAGCAGCAAGAACAAGGAGGGAGGGAGGGACGTGATTTGCTGATGGCTTATAAATGCCGGTCACCAGTCACCTACCTGGCTGCCAAATCCAGGCTAAGAAACCAGATCTGAAAATTATATGGAGTATATCTAGAATGCCTACAAGTTCTCATATTAGAATGAGATTGGCAAAACCGAAGTGCTAGACAATCCAATATTGGATCTACAATAAACATCAATACCACATTGGGTAACAAACGGATGAAGTTGAGTACTTCATGATGATTAAATGCTAATATTTGTAATGAACTTCAATAATTTGTTTACTGGACAAATTTGAACATCTTCTTGCAATTTAGGATAAGTGAGTTAGTCATTTGAATTTTTGAGTTGCTTATTTCTCATGCGCCTTAGGTAGGGAAAAAAATTATTGTGCACCTATATTTAACTGGCCCTTAAACTCAACTATATTGAGGTTTAAATTGCAACTTTATTAAAAATCTAAGCCATTGAAATATGTAATTTCTATAAGTCAAAACCAATTTCATAATTTTTGGATGATACTTGCACAAGCCCAACGCGCCATACAACCAAATCATTTTCGCCATCTTCCGTCAATTTTACTTTTCCATTTTATATAGTTGAAACATTCAAAGCATTAGGTTTATCTTATTCATTAATTTTTACATCTATTTTGTAGGTAAATTACTCACCAATTAGGGGTTTTACTCTCTAGAGGGTGAGTGGGTGACATATTCCTTTCTAGTTATTGATTTTATTTCTCTTTTCAAGTTCCAATCATGGATTTATTTCTCTCGATAGTCTTCTTTTTTCATATCTCATAATCATATATCAACACCAACAAGTGATCCTCCTCCAAACCACCAACATCTTTGTGCTTATATGCGGATAAGATGGATATGTAGGTGACTTTCCCATTAACATTCAGCATAAGGAATGTTTGGTGAGATGCTTTATTTATTTTATTCATTTAATTTACGTTTCAGAAACATGTGCATTGGCATCACTAATATATCATTATTGTTTGCATCTTGTGCCAGATTTTTACTACTGAGTATATTTTTTTCCATTAGTACATGGCAAAAAATAAATTACTGACCTTGAGATACAAGAACTGCCAATGCTGGAAAAGCTGAGTAGATGCACAGCAGCAAAGGCTGAATATTTCATTGTTTGCATAAATCCAATTGAAGGTGGACTTTTTATATTTTATGTAATTCCTCCTTTCACATTGTGCATTGTGATTATTACCCTATATAATCTTCCAAAGATGTGTGATTTGAGTTTGTCCTTTCTAAAAACAATTCAGCCAAACATTTCAATTTTCAAAAACTTAGTTGCCTGTCAAATGGGTAAATAGAATAGAAACTCCATAGGGAGTAGCCATCGACAGTCATGCAGAGTTGTGCATCATTCATTAGCTCACAGTGAGAACAAGCTCAAGATCATTTGGCGTCTTCAAATCATCCAGAAATTGTTTAAGGTCTTCAAGTTTGGCATTACGCATACCTACAAGTAAATGGTGATTAAGTAATGGACTTTCTTAGACTAGACTGCTTATAGAATTGCTTATCAATGATTCGATGAAGAATGAAGATAACTTGCCACAATGGTTACCACAACCATGATAATTCAGTCGAAGCTTATCATCATCATCCAGCTTGCGAATTTTCTCTGCTCTCGTGTTCAATATCAATAGACATTAGAATCACCCTTTTCTCCAAGGATGATCGGACCTCTGATGCAGTTGTTACCAGCTCTGAAAAACACGAATTTATGATATATAGTACAAATATTTACTTCCTAGTTGGGCTCGCAACCTGCTAAAGAGTTCATACAACAATGACTATTAAGAGCATTTAAAAACTGAATTAAAAATATGATTTATTCATTCGGCCAAAAATATGACTTCATTTAATCATAAAATATGATTTAAGCTCCAATATATTACTCATTCGATTAAGACGCTCATTCAAACAATTTATATTAAAGAAGCCTATGATTTAATATACTTCGTATGTAATATGTGTGGTAATAACTACTCATACACGTAAGAGCAACACATAAATAACCTTAAGTTAGTTATTTTACTATTCTCAGACTACTTATTCAGCACATCAAGTAAACAACCCATTAGTCCATTCACATGACCACTTAACTCAGATAGTCCACGAATTGACAAAAAAAAAGTAAACAGCTCCTAAGGAAATTTGACGAAGTTGGGGATGGATTGCAAAACATAATATGGAGAAAAGACAAACCAACTAAGATTTTCCTCAGTAACTTATCCAAATTCAGAAAAGAGTTGTGCTTCAGTGCATCTGAAGACAGGATCATTAGAGAACTAAGAGATGTTTTTTTACAGTAAAGTGCGTCAGTTTTATCTTTTAACCTCGGTCGTCAATACAGACCAAAACAAAACTGACTGACCAAGCCGACCAACCGAATAGAGAACTAAGAGATGTGTTTACCTGAAACCCAGTTCATTATACAACTGTATCACTTCATTAAGAGAAGCTACAGAGCTTTTACTCTTACTAGAATGTCTTTCCAGTGCCTGAAGTTCTGTATTGAGGTCAGCAGACTCTTCAACTACCTGATAAGATAAATAACATAAATAACATCATTATTGTCATTATCATTACCCCAGTGCCGCAAAGGCTCCCACCTTCGGTGGGGTGGGGGGGGGGTCGGATGTACGCAGTCTTACCCTTGTACTAAAGCACAAAGAGACTGTTTCCGAATGACCCATAGTGAAAATCACGTCGAAAATTGCATGGACTGACTGCTGCTTCATAACAAATAACATATGCAACCAAATTTATTACCATGTATAAATAATACAATAAATCATAAAGTTACTTATACTCCTGACAAATCATATAGTCAAGCACCTGAGCAAGTTTGCTTCTCAAGGAATCCAACTGTGCATTCAGTCTGCTTCCTGATCCGTTACTTACGTGACATGACTAAGAGACAGAGCAAAGACAATCTATCTTACTGCTACGAGTGCCTAGCTACTCAATAGCCAACTCTTTTCTAGTAAGAAATCTTGATATTAAACTGGGTAAGAGGAGAACTATAGAGTACTAGGGTAAGGCAAAGTGTCTCATCCAAGGCTGTCACAAGTGCGGAAACCCATCAACTAAACCTGTATAAAACAAGTTTATAATATACATGACATATATATCAAGTATATAACTCTATTAGTTAATTAGTTTCATTTAAAATACCATTTATCGAAGCTACATTCAATTTGAGTACTGTCTAAAAATAATTTACCGTTTTCGTTCTATGTAAAGTTGAATTTCGACCCCTCGAGTCGTTTTTCTAGCTCTGCCCCTAACTTCAACTCTTCAAGCATGTATTTACTTATCAATATTGAATATAGTATTAATACTTATATAAATGGCTCCATACAAAGTCAAGGTTCACATAATCCATACGGGAACCTTTTGAAAAAAAGCAGTTGAATTTGTCAAAAATCTGGAAATGTTTTCATTACTTGAAGAGTAGTCCACGTGAGGGTTTTTAGGCATTTTTTTATTAAACAGAAAAACGATGAAGACAGGTGACTTTACTTTTAACATTCTAAAGCTTAAACTGGATGAAGACATCATTTCAGAGGAAAAAAGGAGAGGGACCTCCCATGTACTGTTAAGGTCAGTGTGTATGTACTCTCATGAATCCTTATTTGTTACTAATTTTTCTTACACTTTGAATAATATCTTAATTTCCATCATTTTCTATGGAGCCAAAGACTCACTATTTGTTGGCTTGGGAATATGATGGAATAAAGCAAAATGGCTCACTAAACTGTTTGCGCTTCTTTATTATGAAGTAACAGCCCGTCTATGAAATTTTCAAAGCGATTTTTACTATGGGTCATTCGGAAACAGTCTCTTTGTGCTTTAGTATAGGGGTAAGATTGTGTACATCCGATGCCCCCTTACCCCACCGTAGGTGGGAGCCTTTGCGGCACTAGGTAATGATGATGATGATGATGATGATGAATTTGAATAATATCTTAGCATTCGATATCCTTGGGTGACAATCGAAATGAGGAGGACATGACAGATTCTGAGCATAGTGAGTTAGTGACCTTAGTCAACAATATTCTTCTGGATGCAATTATGATCACATTTTAGGAGGGGGAAAAGCTTCCAAAATGGATCGTGCCACACTAAAAGGAACAGCAAAGAACAAGGAAGCTATGCCAGTGAAAATAGAGAAAAGCTGAAAGAGTTATCTATGTAGTTTACTTAAGCTAATAATTTGTAAATATTTATCCACACAGAAATTCAGAAATTCAGAAAGTTAATTGAGGCTAATATTTTATAATTAAAAAATACAGTTATAATTTAAATTTTATTCATATTTGTCACATAAAATAGTTATGGCAAGAGTGCCTTGGGATTAAACACGAAATTTTCAGTAGACAATGATTTAATTGACAATATGTATTTCAGAGATGTAATCATGTACAAAAACACTTATCTTCATACAAAATCACGGTCCTAAACTCCTGATTCGAAAATGTGAATTAAAAACACTTAATTTCATACAATTTACAAGAGAAACACAAAATCAGAAAATAAAAAGAACGAACCTCAACAACACCCTTTAAGCTTGATCTGTTTACTGCCGATAAAATGGAACCACTTAGAAGAACAATCAATATAAGATTGAAAAACTAGGGAAATATGCAGTAATGAAACAACCAACCTCAAGGTGTGCCGGAGACTTCATCTGACCTAAGGACACAATAAGAACGTGTTGGATAGAGAACTACACTTTCTTTCTAAATTTTTAAACGCCCAATATACAAAAATTGTATAAAGAAGATGTATCCCTGGTCTTAGTCTTTAGAAAAACACTTACGAAAAGTACTTCCAAGAATTGCAGTGAAACAGTGTTTTTGATGGACAAATGTTTATTATAGAGGTTGAAAGATGATGGGTAAACTTCAGAATGTTCAGAAAGGAAATACATGGACCTTAAATGTATTTTGTGAAACACAAAATCCATCAACAGTGCTGTTTATTCACCTAATCAGCTAAAAGAAGTAAGAACAATTGTTTTATACATAAGTTACAGTATTAGTCTACTACACAACAACGCTTTAATTATGTAACTTGTTTTATCACAATAGCCCCTGTGATATTCTTCATTAAACAACTACCACTAACATATACTGATCCAAAGAAATGTTGTATGAGTTATTTTCCCATGGAAAGTAGACAAAAGGTTGATAAAAATCACTGGTATGTACAAACTGGCCGTCATAGAAGTTGTACAAGAATGATTGCAACGCAATATATCAATTTCAGAGAAGGCACCTGTCATGGGGATCACCAATAATCTCCACAAGAGCAGGTTCCATTTTTGAAGTGGTGGAACCGGTGCATATCGCGCACAACAATTTCTCTTTGAGTCACAAGAGAAATGAATTTCGTGGCAGTATGGCAATCACCACAAACCCGAAGGTTCTTCCTGATATTAATAGTTGTACCATGACTGGTATTTATAAGGGCGAATGCAATAGCCAGCTTCTCACTATGGGTACTGACCAGCTTTTCCTGAACATCATCTTCCACATCATGAAATGAATCTGTATTGGGTATATACCCCGCAGCTTTAATCCTCTCTATCAGAGTTTCAAGGTATGCATAGATTTGTTTTGATAGTGGGTGGGCAGTACTTCCAGAGTAAAAAGTGTGAACCTCATTTCTCAAGTCCACCAAACTACACCCAGGTGCTTTCCGAATCCCTTTCTTCTCCATCAAAATTCTTACTTGGGCGACTTTTTTCCATAATGAAGCCGAGGCGTATATATTAGCAAGCAGAACATAGTACCCACCATCATCTGGTTCTAACTCAAATAGTTTGTCTGCAACCTTCTCGCCCAACTCAACATTCTTGTGGATCTTGCAAGCACCCAACATTGCCCCAAAGACATTGACCTCGGGCTTGACTGGAATATTATTGATGAAATCCCAAGCCTCATCAAGTCGACCGGCACGACCAAGAAGGTCAACCATTGCACCGTAATGGTCCATTAAGGGTTTTATCCCGTATTCTTTCTTCATGATTTTAAAGTAGTGCTTCCCCTTCTCTACAAAACCTGAGTGGCTGCAAGCTGAGATGATACATAAGAATGTGATGTCATTCGGCCTTATGGATCGTTTGGGCATTTCCTCAAATAATTCAATAGCTTTCATTCCGAAACCGTGTGTTCCGTATCCATCAATCATGGCATTCCATATTATTACCTCCCTATCATCATCCATTATGTCAAACAACTTTCTTGCAGTGGAAACGGCTCCACATTTTGCATACATGTCAACAAGGGCAGTTACAACAAACATGCTTTTGTCCAAACAAGTCCTTATAGCAAGTCCATGGATCCACTTGGCCTGGCGTAACACTGATAACTCAGCAAGAGCTGTGGCAACACTAACCAAAGTGAATGAGTCAGGTTTGATGTTCTGCAGTTGCATTTTGCAGAAGAGATCTATGGCTTCCAATACTTGTCCGCTTTGTGCAAAGCCCAAAATCATAGCATTCCAAGTTACAAGCGTCTTTCTGGTAGTAATCTCAAACAATCCATAAGCAATGTCGGCTCTTTTGCATTTACTATACATTGAGATTAAAGTATTAACAACAGAAGAGTCTGCCCAAAGTCCTAATTGATCAATCATTTCATGAATGTTTCGCCCGAACTCGATATTCCCCGATTCGGCACATGCGTGTAGAGCAGCCATGACAGTGACATTGGTTGGCTTCAATCCTTCATTTAACATATTTTCAAACAAAACTAGAGCTTCATTTGAATTCCCACTTTGTGCATACCCATCAATCATAGCATTCCATGAAACCACTGTCCTAAGATCCATCTTATCAAAGACCAACCTTGCAGCACTGACAGAGTCACATTTTCCATACATATCCACCAGAGCAGTTGAAACATTTGCAGAAGATACCAACCCGTTTCTTAGGACATAACAATGTACGGATTTCCCGATCCTCAAGGATCCAATAGCAGCACAGGCGGGCAAAATTGAAACCACCGTGATCAAATCAGGCCTATGAGATGTTTCCCTGTGCATCCTCAAAAGCACTTCCAACGTTCTCTTAGGCATCCGATTCTGCGTAAACCCAGCAATAACTGTGTTCCAAGCCACCAAGTCCCTCTCAGACATTCTCTCAAACAGTCTGAGCGCATCTTCCAGCAGCCCACATTTCACATATAGATTCACAACGCCAGTCATAGCAAACAGATTGCTCGAAAAGCCATTCAGAATCAACTGCCCGTGTATCTGTTTACCCTTCCGAATATCAGAACTTTGTGCGCAGGCCTTGATCAAATACGCGTAATCATGTACAACGGGATCGACATTGTCGGACCTCATACGAGAGTAGAAGGAGACGCAAGACTCCAAAGAGGAGTGACTGGTATAGGCTCTGAGCATAGTGTGGTACAGAGCATCCGGTTTGGAGCTACTGACGGATTCAAAGACTTTGAAAGCGTCGTTGAAGCTGCCAAATTTAGAGAAAAGGCTGAGCAGCTTGGTTTGGAAGAGGTGGTCGTTGTAGAGGCCGTTCTTGATCGCGACAGGGAGCATTTGGCGGAGCTCTTTTGTGGAAATGCAGAGCTCCAAGAGGATTGTGGGTTGAGTGTAAGCATGGGCTGGGATGCGGCTCCTGGAGACAAGAGACGGTGGCAATGGCGGCGGTGGCTGTGCAACGGAAGTGCTGCCGAGTACCTGGAAACTCATTTAGATTGTGAAGCAAAAGTCGAAGCGCACAGTCACCTAACTGATGTTTGTATATCCCCTTCCAAATGTCCAGAGCATCAACCTTCTTGAACTGGAAAAATGATCTTTCTCACTCTTATACTCACTTTTGTATACACCTATGTTTGTGAATTATTTTTTTTGTCTGTAAACCCCGACTCACGGACAAAATTTTGCACCAATAAAATATTGTCTGTGAACTGGGTTCACAAACAAAAAAAACTCCACAAACATGATAAGTTTAAGGTGGGTATAAAAGTAGTTATATCAACTTCATCAAGCATTGTTGAAAGATAAATGCCTCATTCGTACGGAGTATTTGGGACTACTTTTTCGGAGTGAAATTTGCTTTATCTCTAAACGTATGGTCTCTTATTTTATAGTTCCGGAAGTTAAGTCTGGTCTGGTCTGATCTCAAATGAAAAATAGTAACAATGTTTTTGGTATGAGTTTAAGTTTGTTCTGTGGATTAATTGTAAAAATAGGACTAAAAGTCACTCACTTTGCACAAATGTGATAAAAAAAACTATATTTTCATAGGACTAATTATGTGTGTCCTGGACATAGATACCTTTATAGCTGTTGAAATGTTTTAATTCATAATAAAATAATAAAAAATAATAAAATTCGTAAAAAATACTAAAAAAAAAGTAATAAAAATATTTAAATAAAAAAAGTAAAAAAAATTACAAAATTTAAAAAAAATATTAAACGCAAAGAAAATCACCGCCGCCTCCGCCGCCCTAGCACCACCACCTCTAGTCATCTGGCGAAAAAATGCCAAATTTATTACGAATGTCATATTTTTGGCAGAAGTCATAAATGAAAATGTTGGCATTCTCAAAGAGTAGTACAGGCGGTGGGAAAGACATCCATATTTTGTTAATTTGTTTATGTAGTTTTACTATTTTTTATTAACTTTTTAAAACAAATAAATAAAGGAGGACTAAGAATGGAATGATGAAATAAGTATGTTTTCAATAGGAACAATATGGTCCTATTTTGCAATAAAAACATAGCAAGTCGTATTTTGAATTTTTGCTATAATTTTAGTCCTATTTGAAGTAATTTCTATTGTTCTAAAAATGGACGCTATAGTAAACTCCGGTATTTAACTACAAAGTAGCTAGGTTATATATATTCTATATGTGTTTAATGTCCCTTCTATTTGTGACACTTTTTATTGTTGTTTGGTACTGCTTTGGTTTCCCCTAACTAAAAGAAGATTTAGGGGGTGTTTGGATCTGATTCTCAAAACTAATTCTGCTCCTTGAAGGAGCAGAAGCAGAAGCTGGAGTGTTTGGGTGAAATTCCAGAAGCACTTCTAGAGCTCTAATTTACTCTCAGAATCAGTTTTTTTAGAAGCTGGGGGGTACCAGCTTCTGAAAACTGATTCTGATTCTGCTTCTGCTTTTAAAAAAGAAGCAGAAGCAGAATCAGTTCCAAACACCCCTTAGTGCTCTTTTTGGTGTTGTTATTGTTTCAATATCATTAGGAATAATTGATGGGAAAGCTGAAGCTTGCAAATGAGCAATTAACCCAAACATTTAAAAATACCTATTCTTCCCTTTCTAGATCGAAATGTTTACCTGAGATTCCCAATTGGTGACATGGTGGTACATACTTTTCACATGAACATGAACTTATATTCAACAAAAATGAAATATGAGTTCGAAGGTCTCGATATATTTAGATGTGGTGTGGTCCTTCATATGTAATGGTGCATTCGGTCATTAATGGTGCATTCTTTTTTTTTTTTGAAGGAAAATGGTGCATTCTTATATTGGCATTTTTTATCGTTCATTGACATTTTAATTTGTACTTGAATATAGAGAAAGCACAAGAGTACTTTTGTACTCCCTCCGTCCCGTTGGAATATTCTCACTTTCCTTTTTTGGATGTCCCAATGGAAAGTTCTCATTTCCCTAAATGGAAAGTTATTCTACATCAAAACAGTGTCAAACAGTGTCAAATAGTGCAAAACAGTGTCAAATAGTGTCCAAACAGTGTCCAAAAAGTAAAATTTACCCCCTGGTAAGTTTATTTCCTTAATATGTGTAGGTCAAACTGAGAACATTCCAACGGGACGGAGGGAGTATTAGAAAGTAATAGGAACGGCTCCAGCAATTCGGCAATGCCTTGTGGCCAAAATAACGGAAAAGCCCAAACAGGAAAACAACCATTCTGCCTGCCGCACATGCCACCTTATAATATCAACGACTTCTCTGAGGCATCTATGCGGCGACACCACCCAACAAGTGTTAAATTTCCGTCCGGGGTAAATTGCACCGAACCCATTTGTGTTTTATAAAGTCTGCGCGTTAAACCCTTGTGTTTTAAAAAATGCACGAAAACCCCTTATGTTTTAGTAAACAAAGCACACACGCCCTCTAGGCGATGGAAAAGTAACGGCGTTAACTTTTAATTAAATTACCCGTTACACCAGGGGCGGATCCAGGATTTCACGTTGGTGTGGGCTGAAAAACTTAATTGATAATACATTGAATTTTTTTCAAAATAAGCAAAAACTCAAATATAAACTTGTCAACAATAAATCTACATCTATACTGAGGGTAATTTCTTATTAATATAAACTCGTCAACAATAGAGTCTGCATCTATACTGAGAGTAAGAAAGTAATCATCCATTTTGGTACAGAGTGTTGTCTTTTGATGTTTTACGACAGAAAATGATATTCTACGGTTGCAGTAGAAACAATAAGATCGATACAAAGCGAATCAATCTACTCATTATAACATAGAATCGGATCTTTTGCTCTTAGCTCTAGTCAACTCATCACATAATTTAAAAAGTGCAGATACTTGAAACTTTGTATCATGAATCACATAATGAACGTAGTGTTGTAGCTCGAATTTCAAAGCATGAATGTTTTGACTACTAAAATCTTCAGGATAGAACTTCCTTGCAAGAGTACAAATTGCATCAACATTGAACAACTCATTATTTTTTTGGATTCAATGAAGCACTCAAAGAAAGGAGTTCCACTGATTTATCATTAAATGGGTCTGTAACTCCTTAAAAAAAGTTTTATTGAAATCGTCAAAGTGATAATGATGATCATCAACTGTAGTTTATTTTCGGCAACGACCACTGATTTATTTTCGGTAACGGTTACACCCTTTTACTCACTCCGTCCCAATATAAAAGGCGCATTTGCGTTTCTAGACACTTTAAGGGTGAACACTGTTTGGCACTGTTTAGACACTGTTTGGCACTGTTTGGACACTGTTTGGCACTGTTTTGCACTGTTTTGTTTCCCAAAAAGGGAAATGTGCCTTTTATATTAGGACGGACCGAAAAGGAAAGTGTGTCTTTTATATTGGGATAGAGGGAGTATTATTTAGTTGCTTAGTCTATACTCTCTAAAATGAACTGATTTGCAGGTTCCTCCCGCCCTTTCTTTTCCGTATACATCTTCCCTCCTGCGTGAGCTCCATCTTTGGTGCAACGATGGCTTCCCTGGAGATTTCCGGCCTTTGACGCAACAAATCCTTTCCTCTGATATTTCATATCCCTGACACGACCACCCATTTCTCTAAGGTTTGTTTACTCGACTTAAATCCATACTTTTCATTCGATTTGGATAAACCCCTTTAAATATTAATATATTGGGTGCATCTTCATATCTAAAGCTAATTTAATCAAGTTTGCACGGTTCTTAATTTTGCAAGCATTCTTTAGAGGAATAAGTAAGAGATTCAATTGAAAGTCACAAATTAGGGTTTCGTAAATTTAATATTTTAAAGGTTTATTAGCTTATTTTATTCCAAACTCTCATCAAATTCCCAAATCTATCTTATTCTTTCACTTTTATTTAAAGAAACTCAAACTTCATCATTTTCAACAATAATGCTTTTGTTTTTGTTATTTTTTTTTCAAAATTACACATGTATATCAATACCAATTAGATATAAGCAATACAAGTTCTTAAACTTAAAACTAGAAAGAAGTGAAAAAATATAAAATAAAAATGTGATGTTCTTAAACTTTACGAGCTAAGTCGTCCATTGAAAGTGTAATTGTGAGAAAACTTTAACTTTTAGCCTTTTTTAAATAAAAGTGAAAGCATAGGACAAATTTTTGAATTTAATGATAGTTGGCATATATTTAGTTAATAACCCTAATTAAAATGTATCACTTAAAATAGCCATTTTTTGCTTATTATAAACATGATATTAAGTATGGTTTGTGTGTGGTGGAGCTGCTCATTTCAATTTCAATAGTAGTTTGAGTTATGTGTGTGATTTATGTATGTTTAATGTGAGATTTTGCTTAATATGTTTCACAAGGAAAATGTCTGGTGAAGGTCAAATTGAAGACCTAACATTGCAGCCTCAAGATGAGCAAAATGAAATGGAGAATGGCTTTAGTAATGCTTCTCATGTCTCCTCATGTCCTTCTTGGGCACTTGAGGACATGGAGGGGCCTGATGATGATGACATATTTACTTCAAGAGATCCTGATTATTGTAGAGAAGTGTTTGAGTATGCTAGAAATTTTGTGAAAGATCAAAAAATGAAGAGAAAATATGCTAGGGATGCTGATGAAAGAAACAGAATCAAAGACTAGAATTGAAACAGAAAATATGCTAGGGATGCTAGGGAGTTAAAAAATTGTTTTGGAAAGCTGCATCTACATATAGCGTGAATACTCATCACAGGTTTATGAATGAAATTAAAAGACTGTGCCCAAGGACAGGTCAACAAGAAACTGCATTTGAGTGGCTCTCTAATTTACCAACACAACATTGGGCTAGGTGATTTTTCAAAACTGTTGCAAAATGTGATGTGATTGTTAACAATATCTCTGCATCTTTCAACAATTACATCCTTCCCGCTAGAGATCTACCAATAATTGATATGTTTGAGTGGATTAGAAGGAAATTGATGACAAGGATCCAAGTTAAGAAGATGGGGACGGAGAGATATGTAAAAAGTGTGTGCCCAAACATCATAACCAAGATAGAGAATGAAATGAAAAGAAGTAGGCAATGTGATCCATCTTGGGCAGGGGAAGACATTTATGAGGTCCAATATCACATGGGCAGTCATATTGTTCATCTTGATGAACACTTTTGTAGTTGTGGCTTTTTTCAGTTGTGCAGATATCCATGTTGTCATGTTTTGGCTTGCATT